AACACATGGTCGTGCAGCTAAATAATGATGTCCATACTGAAGGTAGGAGTGATGTTTCTTTTCTTTTTTGAACATGTTACATTCATGCGAGAAAGATAAATGTTGTGGAACAAGGCCATTATGTTTACTGATAATGCTCCGGGTCTAAAATGTCTGCCTCTTGCTGCACTCCCTTTCCCAAATGTAATAAATTAACAGAATACACACATCTGTGTTGTGGTCTGATCTGTTTTAATGGTAACAATGGCAACTATTGTCCATTTCTGAATGTAGTACCGCAGTGACCTTGCAACAGCCACTGCATTGCTTTTCGCAACATGACGGCCATCTACTGTTACATGACGTAACTGTTTCTTGGGAAAAGAATAACTGGGAGGAAGGATAAAGTGCATCAAGCTAGTTACACCACTTAACTCCCTTCAAAGACCCAGTGTGTAGGATTTAGTGGCATCTAGCAGTGAGATTGCAACCAACTTAATACTTCTCGTCTCACCCTTCCCTTCCAGGTGTAGGAGAATCTAAAAATCAGTATACATCGGACCTTTAAAACCAAATTGTGTGTAAAACTTAGGATTTAGGAGGAGGATCTATTTGCAGAAAGCTGACAGCTAAAAGTAAGAAATATTGTGTCTTTATTACTTTAGAACGAGCCTATTACTACTAATATTTGGGGGTTTTATTGTCTTTAATTTATAGTGAAAGCTGAAGAGTGACAGGAAAGGAGGGAGGGAGAGAGAGAGAGGGGACGATGAATCAACAGAATTTTTCTACAACAGCCCGGAACAGATACTGAATCTAGATAGGATCATCATAGATACATTTTTCGCCACTGCAGCGTCTCCTACATGCCTGGAAGGCCGAGCTGTATTCAAAAGGTTGCAATGTGCCACTTCACTGCTAGATGCCACAAAGGTATACACACAGTGGTCCTTTAACCACTAGAGAGTGGTATCAGGGGACCTAATGTTGGAACTATTACGTTAAAGTGAAATAGCTGATTTGTTTTGGGGGTTTTTTTGTATGAAGAGTTGCCAACGTTCACATCCAGCAATTACAGATCATTCATTTGTAGTCCTGTTTCTGCCCAGCTGGTGAGTAGGTCCAATATTCACTCCCCTATTAGTTCTGTTTTGCTCTTCACCAGCGCCTGAGGAAATAAATGCTCTATGGTAACTAACTGCTAACTTACTGCTTCTCATCATGGCAGCTTTACAGGTTTAAAACAACTTGAACATAAATATGTTGCTCCTCATACATAGTATTAGCTAAAAACAAGTTTTCTGGGACTGTTTACTTTCTCCAAACATTTCACTGGTAAACATCTCAAATTATTTATTAAACTTTTTTGGAAGAAACAACTTCTTCGCTTTGATTTGCGATTAGTGAAACAAGCTTGTAAAAATTCTGAAGCAACTCATGCCATTTGTGTTCATCTTCAGTAGCAGTGAATCTGCTCATGCAAGCACACACACACGCACACACATTTAATTCAACATCAAATATCAGAGATGCACACATGCTTTTACATTCTAAAGCACATTCGGCTGTGAAGTCCTCTGATCAAAATCAAAGACCCACACCATGTGCACATGCATTCTGCTGTGTGTGTGTGTGTGTGTGTGTGAGTGTGTGTGTGTGTGTGTGTGAGTGTGTATGTGTGTTGCATGTGTGCCCGCAATGCCTCCTGTTTGTGTGTGTGTGTGCCCCAGCTGTCTCACAGAGCTCCCTGTTGTTTGGTCTGCCGTGGCAGACGGAGCCAACGCTGTAAACTCTGTGGATCGATGCTCGTTTGGAGGAGTTCTCTATTTAATTCCACCCAAGTCAGCAGCACTGCATCCTCTTCTCTCTGTGTGTGTATGTGTGTGCACACTTTGGTGCATGAATGTGTGTCCTTGTGTGTGCACATTTGTATCTCTATCTTCATATTGAGTTGTCTGTGTGAGCACGTGCAGAGGAATGCTGCAGGAGGTGTTGGTGTGTGTGTGTGTGTGTGTGTGGATGCATGTATGTGTGCACTTCTGTTACACACACACACACACACACACTCACACACACACTGAAAGAACCAGGAGTCTTACAGCAGTCGCTAAAGACACACACCAACAGTCTGTCTAGCACCTCCCCCTTGCTTTCATTATATTCACAATGTTATTATATGCACACACACCAACATCAGCATATTGATTTATCCTCCACTCTACCTGCTTTCATTTAATATGCTAACACACATGCACACACACTCTTCGTGTCAGCACATGCACACACACACACACACACACACACACACACACACACACACAGGTAAATGCAATAAACGCATGCATGATGGCACATACATACTCTGACACCACAGCTGCGCACATTAACACACTTATATGCACCATCACAGAAGAGAGACCAAACGCCCCCCAAAAAAACCCAAAACACAAGCTGTTAGCTTTTCTCCACACCAGTTACCTCCCCCCTTCCCGCCCCCCTCCCTCCCTCCCATTGTCACATCAGGGATTTCCAGAGTTCCCAACACGTTGCCGCCATCACGGCCCTGCAGATGTCACTTAGCTGCAGACACACCTCTTCATTTCTCCATCCATCCCTCCGCCTCTCATGGGACAGAGAGGAGGGACAGAACAGGGAGCAGTGAGTGCATGTGTGTGTGTGTGTGTGTGTGTGTGTGTGTGTGTGTGTGTGTGTGTGTGTGTGTGGATACAGAGGGGGGAAGGGAGCCGGGCAGGTTAATGAATTAGTAATTAGAATTGACAGTGCGTCTGCAGTGGGTTTCCCCCAAACTATTTCCACCACTCTCTCTCCGGTCATCTGTGCATCCTCTGAACTCTCTTTGTCATCTTCAACCCTATGCCCCCTCTTCCCCTCCCCTCCGCATCTCTCTCTCTCCTTGCATAACCCCCCTCTACCTGTCTCTGCTGGGCCTCGCCTCCCTAACCTTCTCCTCCCCTTGTCTTCAAACACACACCAGGCTCTTTTGTTCTGTCCACAACCTCGCTCTTGTTTTATGCATTTCTCTTCTTAATTCCCTTCTTTCTCTCTACCTCTTCTCTTCTTATCTCTTTTTTTCGGCCGCTCAATTCTTCTTCTTCTGTCTCTAATGTGGTATTGATCATTGGAGATCACTGGATTGGAGGCTGAGGTTCTCAATCCATGCAGACGCTACATTAAAGCTTGGCACTGCTGTGCATTATAAGGGCTGTATTCAATATCCACGAAGAAAACATTGTAAAAAAATTGGCAGCAGACAGTATATAGCCATATGTGCGACTGTATACTGCCTTCATGCTTCTGTTTATGACCTTGAGGTGCACCAGTAACAGGGGACTCTGAAAGCACTGTACTGTATCTTTTAAAGACAATACAAATGGTTTGGCTCTTGGCTTGATTTAACTGTGCTGATTTTACACGTGGGAGATGAGTGAGAGTAAAAGAGCAGGTTGAAAAGGGAGTGAAAAATGGGTGGCGGGCATATGCTGGTACAGTGGAAGAAATGTCCTCTGTGCTTTGTCAAGGACGGAGTGGACAGAGGCTAATTTATAGTTTTGTGCTGGCAGATAACATGAATTGCTTGTTCTTCAGTAAGGCCGAGATTTTTTAACATTTTCTGTTAAATCCTCTGCCTTTCGACAAACCAAACATTGCAGCGTCATCACAGGCTCACAGCAGACAGCACAATACAAAAGTCAGACCCCCCAATCCTCAGCTTGACAAAGGCATGTGGGCACAAACACATACATATACAATATAAACATAGACACACAAAAGAATGTACACTCTATTAATAACAAAGTTTTTCTAGAAAATGTCAGCTAAACTGAAAGCTATTCATCTTTGTTCTCCAGCCTACATAACTGATTGTCTTCTTTACAGTGGTTTAATTAGTGGTATTTCTCTTTTGGATAGGCTGTAATTATAGTCCTGCCACGATGGAAGAAGTATTGACAGTCTCCTCTGGGAATGACTACCAAGAGGAGCCGACAAAGATCAGCAGAAAAATAACGTAAATACCGCAAGTAATGGGTGTCTTCTGTGGTCGGAGTAACTATCAAGACATTTGCGATGGCTTACATCGAGAGAAATTAATGTTCAGAATGTGAATACTGTGATAGACAGGCGTCCTGTGCAGGGTGGGCATAGGATACGCGTATATAGATTATGAATTGACAAATGGTATCTTGGCTAACAGTACTAGAATACCAACATTACAGGTTAACAGCAACCAGCAGGTCAGAGGTCGGGGGCCACATTTCTGTTACACTAAAACGTGGAGTTAAAACTTGTAAATGTAACACAAACATCTGAAACTGAAACTGTATCATGTGTCGAGCACATTACACAAAATAATTCAAGCAACAACTAAACTTTAGGTGTAAATTGTGCGATACGATATTGGAAATTAATCCGATAAAATATGGGTATATTATATATTTATATTGGGTATCTGCGACCCTTCTAGTTCCCAGCAGAGTCCCATTCGCCATTTTTCAAGTCATGACCTGCCCAACCTGAGCCAGTCCATACAATAATGATAGCAATCAAACAGGCTTGTAATAGCATATATATATATATATATATATATATTAATTATTGGTACTCAGTATTTGTCAGTATCAGTATTCGAACATCTCTAAAATGCTGACATACTTTGAATTTACGTCATTTGTTTGGCCATGATTAGATTTTCAATTGTATTGAACACCCTATCTAACAGTCTTTAAACTATTGACTGTTTCATGGGTCATGTTTTTTTCCATGGCAGACATCAAATTCCTCTCTAAACCAAACTACAGCATGACCAATGCAACATCCAATATATGACAGCTGCAGGACTTTAGACCTTGGACAGCAGTATTTGACTGTCTGTAAATCATCAGCATGAACTGTGTGGTCAATTCCCAACCCCCCCCCCAACAACAACAACATTTGTTCCCCTTTTGCTTGTATCTGGTGAAATAAATAAAACGTCAGGTCGTCATAACCCATCGGTCTGAGGACACCCTGGAGCCCTGCAGGCATCCCTGGACCTCAGTCTGGGGGACTCTCTGCATCCGTTCTTGTGATCAACTTAAAGTCTGACCAATTGTTAAATGATATTTGAATACATTCTAGGTAGTTATATCATCAATGGTCGGGGGGGAAAAAGGGAGGACTTGTGTCAACACCACTGCCAGCGATAATCTTCACTGCAGGCTACAGTGTCTGATATCAACAGGCCCTCGAGACACGTCCCGTTCACACCGCGCGCTAACCACGGGAGAGTGATGGTGCTCCCGAGCAGTCCGAGGAGCGCAATTACAATTTCTCGGCTGCCATTCAAACGCACGGAGGCTCTACGGAGAGGAGGATAGACGCGGCAGGGGGAAAGGACGCCTCCGTACATCCATCCATTCATCAAATCCGCTCTCTCCGCACGCCTGGACATCCCGCGTGCCCCTAACCAGCCTGCGCGGAGGCGCGAGACTACACCACGAGCTCCGGTCCCTGTCGGTCCGTCTGCGGCGAACAACGCTTCGCCACGCGCATACCGGTGAGAGAGGTGGCGGGTTTTGGGGGGTGGTGGGGCTGGAGGGGGGGCAGCTGGGAAGGACGCTTAGAGAAAAAAAAAAGAGCCCGTCTGTCAGTGTTATTCCCCCCGGTGTGGATGTAGAGAGACAGAGGGGGAGTGAGGACCACCGCCGCAAAACTCTCCCCTTTCAGCCGCTGAGTGAACGCATTTTCCCGGTGAGTGGAGACACAATACGGTAGTCTATTTCCACAAATGGTTTAATGTTTGTTCCTCATTTCTAAAGCTGTGTTTGTGTGTGTTAGCCGTGGAAATCTGCCTAACAGGGCAATTAGGCTACAAGCTCGGTTCGTGCTGAGATACCATTTATTTTAGTTTATTAGCGAGAGGAGCGTTTTCTCATGGAGGCTGCGTTTAGGTTTTTTTTTTTTTGGATTTGTGCGACCTGTTTTTCTTGCTAGACATGTACACACACACACACACACACACACACACACACACACACACACACACACACAGCCTGTAGCCTACTCAAACCGGCAGGCTTTTAGGACAGGAGTGTGTTTTTTTTTTTTGTGGAGCTTGGATATAGGCTGAAAAAGATATGCACCGTGCGGGCCGTGGGATTTTATGGAGGTGTGTGTGTGTCTGTTTTCTCTCTCTCTATCTCTCTCTCTGTCCCCAAACCAGCCTGAGAAGAGAATGAGGAGGAAAAAAAAGCGTTTCCTTTCCGCTTTTAAGAGGACAAGTCGATCTTGAAACGCGACCAAGGTCTATTTTGGAGGAAAAGAAAGACACCGGCCTCAATTGAGCTTGAACCGTGTCTCCCAGCCATCCTGTTGTCATGGTTACTGGCTGGAGGAGGCTGGGGGAACATGGGGCTGTCTCGCGCTGTGCTCTCTCTCCTCTCTCTCTCTCTCTCTCTCTCTCTCTCTCTCTCTCTCTCTCTCTCCGTGTGTGTGTGCAAAAGAGAGAGAGAGAGAGACAGGAGGGAGAGAGACAATAAGCCTTGTCTATCTGCTGTTTGTTTATGTCTTTTTAAGTGAGATACTTTGGAAAAAGAACCAGACACACAGTAACCACATTGTACATTTTTAAAGGTTAACCTCCACTGTCTTACTGTAAGCCTCCATATTAATTATATACTAACAGATGATATTAATAAACAACCTTAACACACAGTCTAAGTGCGTATATAGAAGAGTATTATATATTTATTTTTCTTGTGAGCCAGAGCTTCTGGCCTATAGACTTATCTCTGCCTCTTGAGGATGTGGGTGGCTTCTTTAAAACAGGTGTTTGATGGCAGCTTAGTTTTCTTCCCAAAAGCAAAGTCACTATTATCTTAATTATAGACATTTACATGTCTAGTCTAGATCCATTGTAATTCATGCCCTCCCCTCCTCCCACATTACAACAGTGGCATCTCGGAGGCAAAAGTGCAGCTCTCTCCAATGTAATCATCTTGAACCCAAGGTGTCTGACTTCAGATACACCAGCAGCACCTCCAGACCAAACTGTCTATCTCCTCCTCTTCTTCTCATTATTCTCTCTCTCTCTCTCTCTCTCTCTCTCTCTCTCTCTCTCTCTCTCTCTCACTGTCCTCCTCTCTTTTTTTAATCCCTCTGATTACTTTATTAGAAAGATTACTGATCAGAAACACTTTCAAACCATGTTTCAGAAGATATATATCATGTGGATTGCAAACAAGGGGAAACATAATAATACTTGCAAGTCATTCAGATGCCACAAAGCATGTTGTGTGTGTGTGTGTGTGTGTGTGTGTGTGTGTGTGTGTGTGTGTGTGTGTAATAAAGTACACATTTGCATAACAAAATGGAAGTGCCCAGGGAAATAGCCCCCTCAAAAAAACAAGATAAATCACCACATTACTGTGAGCATGTATTTAGATCTGAGCGTTTAGAGTGACACAATGCGACTGGGCGGTTGACCTTGACAGCGTAGAAGTGACATATTGGGGTGATTTGGGCGAGCTGGCTGACTGTTACGCTCCAGTAGGCTGGTGTGGTTAGTTGGAGTGCTCTGTTGTCACACTGGTGTGACTTGTTTGCAGACAGGCAAGTTAAGAAAACACCCTGGACTCCTTCCAACTGTGTTTTCCTGCTTTCCCGTCCCAGGCCTAACGACCAGGAAATGATTTTTCTTCCTCTCTGTCTGCATCTGTGCATGTAACACAACAGCATTGTTGAAAGGTGACTCTATCGCTGCGTGTGTGTGTGTGTGAGAAAGCTGCAGTGCCAGTGCTGCACCCAGCCTGCATATTATGAACAGGGTCAGTAGGTCATTTATAGTATGAGACTGCAGCGTTTTTTCTGGTCTCTCTGATAGAGGAAGAGATTAGGAGGAGGGGGAGGTTTCCCCTCCATGCACTCAGTATTCAGATTTGATTATCATCCATCAGTGTTCAGCTGATAGCTTCATAAATTAATTTTGATTACTAATTAGCTCTTCATGAAAGGTATTTAGACTGTTGTCCTGGTGGTCTTCGCGGGTAAGGTGTCTGCTATGATATCCGTGGTTAGGTTTAAAGCCTGTTTATTTGTTGTGTTTCACCTCCTCTCTCTCCCTCTCTTATCCAGTGAAAGCTAAAATGGTGCAAAAAGAATCTAAAAATATGTAACACTGTGGACTGCTTATTCAATTTCTATAATATAATTTACATATTAGAAGATGGGATAATCGGCTCTATGTCACGGACTGCAGTGAAGCGGCAAACATTTTGTCCTTCGCACCACTTGTCAGCACTGTGGTGGTGCCTCTCAGTAAGAAACCCTCACGGTGGCACACAGCACAAACAAAAGAACTCCACAAATGTTTTTTTTTGTTGTTTAAAATGAATGCAGGAACGCACTTCAAACATAATGAGGTCAGACAAGTTAAAAGTGGTCAATTGGCTGCCTGTTCCACCACTTAAACTCAGTAAAAGGCGATGCTGTGATGCCCAACACGAGTGTCTGCAGGCAGAGTAGTGCTTTCAGAAAGATTTACAAAAACTGAGCTATAGATAGATAGAGAGATAGATAGATAGATAGATAGATAGATAGATAGAGAGATAGAGAGAGAGAGATAGAGAGATAGATTAGAGATGAAGGATTAAGGAGATTATGGCTTTAACATGAGTTGGCTGTAATTCAATCATTTCATATTGCAATACTACAAGTCATATCATATTGTGTCAGAAAAACCAGCAACATGATTTTCTTCCCTATTGTGAAGCTCTGTCATTCGTTAAACTCTCAGGGAATCCTGGGTAATCCTCTCCACTGCGCCATGTTACATTCAATCACTGCCAATAACATCTGGTCATAGTGCAACTCCACTCGAAGTAAAGTGCCCTGCTTAAAGGCACAAAGTTATCCAGATGTTATATTTTTGATCAGTTTAATGCTCGTAGGGGGAACCTTGAGACTTGGGGCTGTTGCGGTAACCGCAATAATAAAATACAGCGTTATTGACAAGCCAACTGCAGGAAATGGCAACACTTCATGTTTACAGCATTTAGGACGGGAATGCGTCCCAGAGTGGTTAGGCTGAAAAGATTCGACACAGTAAGTGCAGTGCTACAATACCACAGAGGAAAACGTCACGTAGCTTCTGTCTCACTCACTCTAGAAACACTCCTGACTGAAAACGCCAGCAGTCTTTTAGTAGAAATCGTCCGCTGTTTATCCCAGTTCACCACAGCTATGGCTGTTTGTGTCCCACGGCTCGCCAGTGTTTCAGTTTCATGAGTGACATGAGATTATCCGTTGTACCCCTTACAAAGTAGTTTGCAAAAACAACAAAATGGCGGTAGTATCACATGGTAATACCGCCATTTTGGTAATACCGCACTCTTGAGCCACCCTAAATCACGGCAGAAGAAATTCCTCCACTGTGACAGCCCGACTAAAGACAAATAGAGAGTACTGCTTGGCCTGTGAAAACAGTTATGTAATATCTTTTGTGACTAGAGAGGAGCTTTTCAAAATCAAAGAAAATCACTCTGATGATGTGATGATAAGCGTTTGGTGACTACAATTTTCTTAACGGAAAGCCTGGTGTGGAGTTTGAAAGGCATGGGTATTAACCAGACAGAGAGGGTCAATGCTGCTTCACAGGATGTTGGCAGAATGGAAAGATCAGGAATACCTCCCATCCCAATTTAGAAATGTTCACAGATTATTCCAAGATGGTTACCCTGACTGGTAGCCTTGTCGTAAGAAGCATAAAGAAGCTTCTTTTGTGTCACATTTTTGGAGCAGTTTGTAAAACCAGACACAACCACTGTTCAGCTGCTTTTAAAGAAGCTGAATTGATGTTAATATTTCATTTTATTTAAGTGTCCCTGCCAGAAATGGTGAGTTTGCAACGGTGTGTTGACTTCTTTGTTCCTTCCCACCAAGTGACGGAGACATCGTCGCTGCAGCCGACTCAGAATTACAAATGGGAGGCTGATGTTAATGTCTTTCCTGACTTGTATGAATGTTGTATGCATTATTGATTGCATTATGGGAAATGTAGGAGCGAGCGTTTTTGAAGCTTACCGGGGTCAAGAAGTCAGGATAGCTCTGCCTCTGCTGCTTTAATTTGAACCATCCTTTTTAAAAATCTCCTATGGGTCCCCCTCAACCTTTATGAGAGTGTAATATTAAGCTGTTCAGCTGCATCTAATAGTACAAACCAAGTCAAGTTTTAAGAGAGCAACGGTAAAACAGTCAAATGAGTGTTGCAGAGCCCATCACACGCAATGTGAAGTTGAATCATATTGAACTTTGGGACGCAATGCAGCAGCTGGGGGGGCTTCCTATTCCATTGTTTTCTCTTATTTTTGAAGGCTCTAGTCTGATTACCTCAGTAGTGTTTCTTTGGCATCTTTCAGCCTATAGAGACCAGTCAGGCTTATCGCTGGAGACTCCCAGTGGACTGCGGCTCTGTGTCTCAGGGATCAATAAATTACGCCGTCCTTGGTGTGTGTCTATGTGTGTGCATTGTGCCGTGAGTGTATCAGAGAGTGTGTGTGTGTGTGTGTGAGCATGTCTGAGTGAGACAGAAAGACAGGCAGAGAGATAGAGAGAGATATAAAAAGCACAAGAGACAGAGAAGAGCTATTTAATGGAGACTTGGCCTTTTATCCAACGTCATCCTCACTGGATTGGTGGTTTATATGCCTGGATTGGCATGTGTGTTTGTGTGTTGTTCACATGATTGGCAGATGGTCCGATCGCAATTAAAGGAAATTGATAAGGCTTTAAGAGTCCCAGTGTTCTGCTGACAAAAGTGAAATGCAATAAGTCTCTCCTGATAGCCATTGTATACATAGAGACACAAAGACTGAGAGACACACATTCTATATCATTGGCTGTGTTTTCTCCATCCATCTATGTGGGGTGTCTGAGCACATCTGCTCTCTCTCTCCTCAGCAGCGGGACTCATAGTGCTGCTCGCTTCCACAGTCTTTCCTTTTTTTTCTGCTGGCTAAGACCCATTTACCTCAATTAATGCAAAATGAGAGGCTGAGACAGAGAAAAGAGAGAGCAGAGTTAGACAGTGAGATAGCAGAAAACATAATGTAGAACAGATGAAGAGAAGAGAGTGGGAGAAAAACAGGACACTGGAGACACAGCGAGAGGGAGAGAGAGAGAGAGAGAGAGAGAGAGAGAGAGAGAGAAAATTCCCACTTTCCGTGTCTGGTTTCATAACTGTTCACTGTTTCCATTTATGGAGATGTGTCACTGTTTTGTTGGTGTGTGTATTTGACTGTGTTTTAATATGTGCAAATGCATCTTTGTGTAATCGAATAAATGGATGCAAATTGTGCTTGTTTGCATATGCCTAGGACACGTGTGAGTATACTCAGGATGGAAATGAGTTTAGGTTTATTTGAGCTCATACTAATCAATTATTGTTAAATAGGCACAACCTTTAGATTTATCTCCAGATTTTGAAACGTACCTTTCTTAGTTTGTCATAATGCAGTTAATAAATCAAATGCGACCCATACTGTGAAGTGATTGATGTTTCTGCAGATGGAAAATACTGAAGCAAACCGCCTGGTGACTCAAAACATAATGCAAAACATTCCCATGCTCATCCCTAAAAAAAGAAGAATGAGTTGGCCAATCACTGATCCTGTATTCAGAAAGAATTTGTTGGGGGATCAGTCAGTGTCCTTTGAGATCAACACTTTCAACAGCAGTCAGGGTGAGAAGGATTAGAAGACGCTAGCAGAAACACACTGTGCTTGGTCGTGAAAAACCAAATAAGTGCTGATGTAACGCTGTATTTTTAAAACTTAATACCGCTTGTATTTCTCAGAGTGACAGGAGACAGATTTTCCCATATTCAAACTGCAATGCGATGAGGAGAATGATAGTGTAAAGCCAAGATATTTTCTGGCTTATTCTTGGCTTTGAGTGCTCCAGTAATAACATCTGCCACAGGGTTTGAGATTGAGAACTCGATATTGCTTTTAGTTGACAACATGAAGTCCTCAAAAAGGGAAAGGTCTGCTGTAATTAAGAGACAAGACTGAAATAAAGGAGCAATTTGCCTGACTTTCTCAGTTCTGCATAATTTGCATCATCTCTTTGCAGCTCTGATGAAACATTTAGTCGGCCCTGTGGTGTCCTCGTGCTCAGGGGCTAAGCCAAAGCACTTTCAACATCTTTCCTTTCTATCCCATATACAGTTTGATATCAAAATCTATCAGAAATGCTAGAAATCTCCCCATTGGAAACCACAGAGTTTTGTTGGCATGAGTCAGCATGCTCATTTGAGCCTTAACTAGATCCTCACCTGCATCGGTATGCCATCAGAAAAGCTTTAAATCCCAGTAAATATTTTACTGCAGTTTTCTGTAAGTCCCCTGCTGCGGATGATTCAGCAGAGCAGAGATCTAATGTGGCTAAGGACTTTGTATCAGGCAGACAGGGCTGTTTCCTGGCTGCACTCTGCAACAATAACAGAATCTCCTTCACCGATACAGCTCTGTGGTTAATTAAAATGTGCATCGTTAGATTTTCTAATTTATCTTCAGCTTGATTGACGCCATGTTAAAATGAATTGCAAGAAGAGGCCATTGAATCCTAGACATGTCTTAAAAAACTCAAATATATAATATATGAAACATAAAAAGGTTTCAGCCCAGAAACTGTTTCAGAGCTAATCAAATTCATTCATCACATTGTGTCTAAAAAAGGATTCTTTTAATTTTTTATACTCACAAAAAAATCTTATTTTTCGTAAAAAGAATAATATATCAGCCAGCAGTAATTGAAACATAACTAGCTCTGCAGAACTGTAATTAAGAGCTGCTCATTAGCATTTGCCCTTGAGCCTCAGTAAGGATAGAGGAAGACCTGATGTACAGAGGTCTTGGCTGCAACGGTGCAAGTGAAAGTAACAGTAGACCATTAGGTTCAAATCTCAGGTTACTATCATGCATTTACTCAAAGCACAGTCGCAGCAGGGATGGAAACAGATAGTTAGTTATTCAGCTGTGAAATCGCCACATAGACAGAGAGCGGATGAGCTAGCAGGATCATTTTGACAGGGATCTGTTGAGCTTTATTAAACAAATCTCTCTCTGTGCCTGCCTGCCTGCCTGTCTGCCTGTACTCCTCTCTGCTTTCTATTTTATCTACCTTTTCCTGCCCTCCTTTCAGAGCTGTTTTGGGATCATCTGGTGCAGAGGACAAAGTGTTCCAGACATATGCATCTCTCTCTCTAACATACACAGCTAGTAAAACATTTCAACACACATATACAGAGCTGCACTTTTGTTGAAGGTGACCTCTGTGACATGTAATTAAGACTAGAAATAATAAAATGACTGTATCAGTATCTGCTGTAGTTATTATAGTCATTTATAACACTGCTTCCTCCTCCTCTGTCTCATTTTCACTTGGTCCTTCATTTTATGCTGATTTTGAGTTTCTTTTCTCTGCAGAGGGTCCTCCCTGCTTGCTGATCTGAAGCTCTGGTACTCATCTCTGGCCAGAGTGGACAGCAACCCCCCTCAGTGAACAGCACCATGACCCAGGAGGGGCAGGCTCTGCCCTCTCCCACCCCACCAGAGAACCCTGTGGAGACCAATACAGCCACCACCACCGACCCGCCCACAGAAACACACAACCAGGCAGAGCAGGACAAGCTGGGGGCTGGGGCAAAGGACGAGAGAGAGGAGGGGAAACAACAGGAAGAGATCAGAGAGGGGGAGGAGGAGGCACAAGGGGAGATACACGGGGAAGGAGAGGGGAGGGAAGACCTAAAGGATGAGGGAGTAGAGGGTGAGTTGAAAGAAGAGAGGGTAGATGGCACTGGTGATGAGCAGCAACAGACAGACGGAGGGGCGGAGGGAGAGAGGGATGGGACGATGGGGGAAGGATGTATAAATGTGGAGGTAAGCTCAACGGGGGAGGAGGAAACACATGGGGCGGAGGGGGTGAAAGAAGAAGAGGAGGGAAAGGAAAATGAAGAGATGCAACCGTCTACAGAGGAGGAGGCAGCTCACCCTCAACAAGCTGGCCGGTTGGTTTACTAAATCACCTTTACTGTAGCACTCTGTCAAGATATACTGCATATTGCTTTTAAGATGTGAAAATCTGGTGACTACAACTTGTGACCTTTACGTGTCAAAGTGTGATATAAAATGTAACATTTAGGAGGCTCTAATGGCAGAAGTGGAATAAAATATTCATAACTATGTTTTCATTAGTGTATAATCACCTGAAAGTAAGGATCGTTATGTTTTTGTTACCTTAGAATAAAATATCTACAGACGCTGCAGATGGAGGCCGCCATGTTTATACAGTAGCCCAAAACGGACAAACTGTCTGTAGATAGGGCTATTCATGTTTATTGTGTGTGTCACAGCCACTGTAGTTTCTCCTTCACGCTTGGAAGGGGAGGTTGAAGTGAGGGGGTTGCAATCTGCACCGCTAGATGCCACTAAATCCTACATACTGGTCCTTTAAGTGGCCAAGACTCCTATATCCTGTCAGTTTATAGACTGTATGATAAGTAGTGGACTAAAATAGTGATGTGAAAAGTGAAGCTAATGCGAGGTGCAGACTCCATGGATCTCTACGGCTCATTTTAAGGTAGCGAAAACCTAACAAATCCTATATACGGGTGATTATACACTAATAAAAGAACCTACCTATGGATATTATATTCCATTTCTGACAATAGATCCTCCTAAATGTTACACACTGAACCTTTAAGGAACACGTTTTATAGTGAGCCAAGACTGTCTTTTGTGGTTGGACAGACAGTGTTTATTATTTCTGTTAATATCATAACAGAGTGCCTCATTTCCATGTTGATTATTTTCAATGGCAAATTGTCTTCTCAGTGTGGTTCTCTGGTACATAATTAGGCTAATTAGCATTTTATGAAATGAATAGGAAAAAAGCCTAAACTAAATGAGCTGAAAGGAAAACAAACAGAGTGAGAAACTGAGAGGACCCAGTAAACCAACTTTTAAACCAACAGAGATAGTGAAGGGCAGTAAAGAGTTCACATTGTGGCAGAACAACATGTTTGTTAATTAGAGCTTTGCTATGTGAGAAAAATGCAGATCAAATAAAATACATACACTGACTTACCAATACAGAAATACACATACATTAAGTAGAAGTAGTAAATTAAGCTGTTTTACGTCACCCTTTTGATTAAACTACTTTGATGGGTTATTTCTGTCCATCAGCAGCAAACACAGAGCACTGCAATGTATTCATATTCTCACAAATATAAGGGATGATATAGTTTGACACCCGAGGGGAGATGAGCTTCCAGCTATTCACAAAGTAGCAAATTGAACAGTGCTTTTCCACCTTTCATCTTGCTTCAATTGTCAGTGTGGCTATTCAAGCTGAAATATTTGCCCATTGTGCACACTCCTCCTGAATGGAGAATGATTCCAGCAATGAATATGAATGATCTGCTTTACGTGTGTGCCAATCTCAACAAAGAAACTGCCGAATGTTTGAGTCATATGTTAAAGGTAATTTCACACTTTCCTCTTCTTTTCTTTCTCCCTGTTGAAACAGACTGGAAAATGGCATAGGTGGGAATGAAGACGAAGATGAAGCATGTGAGGAGGACGATGGAGGAGATGAAGGGGGGGCTCATACACACTTGGACGCTTTCAGCTCTAACTTTGAGACGACTGTAGAACAGGCCGACACAGAAGTGGAGGAAGAGGAGGAGGAGGAGGTCGAGAAAGAGGGCGATGGGAGAGAAAACCAGGACAGTTTCAGCTCTGTGTTTGAGCAGATTGTTGAGCAGGTTGTTCAGGAGGAGGAAGAGGAGGAAGAGGAGAGGGAGTTGGAAGAAGAGAGGGAGAAAGGTAGGGTGGACAATAAAGACGGCTTCAGCTCCACGTTCGAGCGCATCGTAGAGTCTGCCCTGCTGAGGGGCGGGACCTGCTACAGCAGCCTGGACTCTCTGGACGTGCTGTCACTCACAGATGAGACAGACAGCTGTGTCAGCTTCGAGGCGCCACTGACGCCGCTCATCCAACAGAGGGCGCTGTTACAGGGTCCTGAACCCCTGGAGCTGGAGCTGGCAACTGTTCTGGAGCAAGAAGGGGCTGAGGCTGGACCAGATGCCCCAGGGGGTGATCTCACAGCCTGGGAGAGCACTGTCCGTGGAGCTGGAGCTGTGGCTGGAATAGGAGGAAGCCCGCTGAGGACCACCATACCTGGGAGCAGGTCAGAGTTTGTGCTGAGCCAGCCCGGACGCTGGGCCATTCCTAATGGATACCACACAGACTCCCAGGGAGCCATAGAAGGTTGTGGAGCCATGATAAACTCTGTCAGGTAAGGAGTCCAGTGCTAGGTGTTTAAAACCCCGGGGTTCAGATGGGTTTTGTTTGAAGATAAATTAGACAATTCTTGGGAAAATGGGGGTAAATGCTTAATTTCAGCCCTTTATTTCTGTATGTCCAGGTTGGACCATTGGGGGGAGAGAGGGTGTTATCAGAATGCGTTGCTGTCTGACGCAGTGTATTTTTTTATATTACCACTAGCAGTCGCCAAAGTCAGAACATTTTAAATCCAAATATAATATTTTCCCAACTAGCTTGGAAATATCATCAGTTGCTTGGTATTTCCATTATCTCCTGTCATGATGCAGTTCTTTGTAATGAACATCAGAAATATATATGCATGTAGCTTTTTGACGGATGTCAAGATACATTTTATTTATATAGCCCAAAATCACAAATCACAATTTACTTTAAGGGGCTTTACAATCTGTACAACATTCAACTCATAGACCCTCAATCTGGGTGAGGAAAAACTCCCCCAAAAAACCCTTTAAAGACGGAAATAAAATCAAAGAACCCTGCAGGAAGAGCCACAGAGGAGGGATTCCTCTCCCAGGACAGACAGGTGTGATATACACACAAATATTAGCATGATAGTAATTGTGATGTTTACTCCTTCTGTATTGTCCAGATGATAATATCCAGGCTCCGCTTCGAGCTTCATTCTTCATTTTTTAAACGTTTATGTGACTATAACTCCTAATACACGCTGTACATCTTACTGTTAATCACGAAGGAACATTTAACTGCATTTTTCACAGTGACTCAGCGAAGACTGTTCCACCGTTATTAGGCTGTCCATTTAGAAGAAACATGACGTACACTAAGCTTTAGAGTGGGAGTGAGTTTCTGAGCCACTACACAGCGAATGAGTTATCTTACATTTTGTGTTTTTAACACAGTTGAATGAATGTTTAGATTACTGATGACAGATGCCAGTGTTTGTCCTCTTGCAGCCAGGCAATGGAAGCTTTGTGTAGCTATTACAGATATATGGTGTTCTTCAAGTGTAATTACTGTAATATGCTGTGACCTTGGCTTAACCAGCAGGTGGCGTGAGCATGTTGAGGCCGAGCTGTGGGCCTTAGAGAGGGGGCAGGGTGGTTGATAGGGGGTGACTGTGGTGGTCTGACTGTTCAAAAGAGAGTTATATGTCCATACATGCAAACTCAGTTGCCAGACAAATCCTTGCCAGTCCACCCAGCCAACCAACATAAAATACATGATGCTGCTAAAAAATGAAAAGTATTAGGCTCATGTTGCTCAGCTTAAAATCCTCCATGTCTTTGGAAGAGAAGAGACAGGAAACTGTACATGGTTGGATAGCTTTGTGCAGTTCGGTGTGAACGTTACATTCGCACAACAGAATTAAACAGCAACAAGCAAACAACACGGCGGTACTGGAAAAAAATCAAGTTGCAGTAAGAGAGCTTTTACATTTTTATGGAGTCAGTGGGGCTGTTTAAGCAGGATTGTTGGACTAGAAATGAAACAGTTCCTTCCTCTGTTGGTAGTGACTGAGAGCCTGGTAACTACACACAGCAAGTTCATGAAGCAGACCTGCAGATTGTGGTTGTGGTGTTTGCTTTCTTCAACCATTTTGCTTAAGGCATACTTGCACAGCTGGGGGAGATAATCTCAGTGCTGCCAAATTATGAAAGGTTTATGTATGAAAAAAGGCAGTCTTTGAACATTAACAGAATTTGTAGGACTGGTGTGGTGGTTTCATGTGTGACATTAACACTTTTACACACAGCAGTATGGAAATAAGATACAGGGTGCCTGTCAGTATAATGGATCACATAAATGAACTGCGCAGCAGGAGTAACTTTCACTTTGTCTCATATAGCCAGCTGATATTTATGATAATGCTGAGATTTTACACTCAAACTCATGCACTCCATCATTTGACATATACCCCAAGGAATTGTGGGAATACAGCAACAGCTGACACTACTTTCTTACATTTAATTACCTTAATAGCACTAAAGAGGGTTGAGGAAGAAGAGCCACTGAAGGGGGAGGTGGTAACAGGAACCATATGGAGAAAGACATGTAACCTGAACTACGGCTATAGGTCTGTCTGTCTGTCTGTCTGTCTGTCTGTCTGGCCTGCATACAATCCCCATGGCTTGTTCTCCAGCTGCACAGTTACAGTTACTAACCAACTGGAATGCCAAATAGATGCACAGACCTCTGACATGATCCACGCAGCTAACTGCTGGGATTTGTTTACAGACTCTCCCCGGTGCTTCCACAGCTCAATATGAGTTACAGGATGAACGGAGGATTTAAGATGTCGGCTCTCCTTCTCTTTTCCTTCTCTCTCTCTCTCTCTCTCTCTCTCTCTCTCTCTCACTACTCTCACCCGTCTACAGATGTTGTCCTTTAAGCACGGTCTTGCTTCCTGACCACCAGCGCCAAAGCTGAATGAGCTATTGTTTATGTCATGACATCATCGTCTTCAGCTTTCCTCTGCCCAGCAGGGTCTTAGAGTGAATGTGTGTGTGTCTGTGTGTCTGTGTGTGTGTGTGTGTGTGTGTGTGTGTGTGTAAGTGAGCGATTATTGCTCTATGGTAGCCAGCTTGCCAGACATTTGAGCACTTAAATCTAGAGTGGATACATCTGCTAGTCAGTCTTAAAGGGATAGTTTAAGTTTTAAAGACACTCACAGAATCCAGTTTATCATGCATTTAAAGTCCTTGATGTCCATTCAATTTTAGTTTTTTAGGATATTAAAGGGAGAAAGTTATAAGCATTAGCAATTCTAGTGCAAGTCAATAAAGGTAAAAGCCATTACTCTGGAAAAAAAAGATCACAATTGAAGCACAGTCAGAGTTTATTTTGTTGTAATATTCTCCAGAGGGTGCATAAATAATGTTAACAGAACTGCTTTTCAGCTCAGTTGAATTGATTTTTTTCCTTTCGTTTACACTCTTAAGAATGCACATCTCATAGTGAATAAACAGATAGCTATTATAATTTAAATATTCACATTGTAAAAGCTTTTTGTGGTTCACAAACGGGGTGCGTGTCAAAGTAAAACAATTACTAACACAAGCCATAAAGGCTTCTACATACATTAGCTCATCCTTTTTTATCACATTTCCTTGTTTAATGTCTTCTTCTCTCTCCTTCACTCTGTCACTCCGTCTCTTTGTTTGCTCCATTTCACCTCCTGCCTGTGTATTCATTTCTTCACTTTATTCGTCTTATCTCACTTAATCTCATCTCCCATCCAATCCTCTCGCCGTCCTCCTCCTTTCTTCTTTGCATCACGTCCTCTTCCATTTCCCCTACAGTACTCTCCTGCTGTGGCTTCTTATCTTCCATTCCTCTCCTCTCCCTACCTCCATTCTTCCCAGTGGGTAGCCAAAGAATTGGCACAGTTACGCATTTTGGCACTTTAAGCGTCATGGACAACTAGTCTTTTTCACTGCAGGACAGAGCAGCTGCAAAGCAATGGATAAAAAATGGCAGGTTAATCAGCCAGTCGGTCAACTTGGCAGACATTTAGTTGTTTTATGGGTCAGTCAGTCATGTGTTTCATCCAGATTGTCTGTATTTAAAAAAAACCTTCATATTTATTTTCTTAAAAGTTGTGTCTCCATCGTTGGTGCTACTGTTAAGTAATCATGTCTGTGGTGTTTCCACACTGCAGGTATCATTTGTTGACTTTGGTTGGCTTGGCTATGACCTTTGGCTGTATTTTGAGTAAGATGTTTACATAGTTTGTTAGTTAGTATTCCCATCCACATGCTACAGAGCATTGACTGACTAAACACTGGAAAACAAGACTAGACTAGAAGAACAATGTTAGAAGCTTTGCGAGGCTGTACTTACGCATATCATTGCTTGTCAGTGCTAACATGCTGATGTGTAACAGTTTAATTACCATTTTCAGTAACTTATTGTATCATGTTAGCATGCTAATATTAACTAATTAGCACTAAACACAAAGTACAGCTGAGGCGGATGGTAAAAACAACGTTTTGTCAGTATTTAGTCATTAACCAAAGTTAAAAAAGTTTGAACAAACACTTTGACCTAATGATGGTGATGGAGGTGGATCCTCAAAGTTATTATAATGAATCTGCTGGATATCATGAATTTCATGGCAATGAATCAGATAGTCATTGAGATATTTTCCTCAAGTGGAGGACCAAAATACTGACATTGCCATCCCTCGTCGCTATCATGGGTTACATGTCATTCATTTACTGGATTCAATTCAAGATTCAAGATCCAAGAGGTTTAGTATCATATGTACCATAAGAAACACAGAGGTTTGTACGTACAATGAAAATCTTACTTTGCCCGACTCCCTGAGGCAACACACAAGTAGAAGAGTAACAGACAAAGTTACATCGGGAGAGCAGATACATAAGATTTGACGAGCAAAGATGGTTCTCCTGCAAGACACACAGCTCTGAACATTGCAAGTGTTTGTTATTAGTTATTATTTGTGATAGAGAGTGTATGTAAATGACAAAATAGTGGCAAAGATAGTGTCTTTTTAGATGAACATTGGCATGCAGCGTAAAGCATTTGGATCACCATATGTGTTTCAAAATGCTGCAGAAATAAATCAGCTGTGCACAAATGCCCTTCATAAATGCAACTGAAATAATAAGACTCCACATTCTTAATGTGATTTGATTTTACTGATTCGTTAGCTGTATAAACAGCTGTCATTATGTAGTGCATCAATGAAAACAAACACTGCTGACTCATTGATTTTCATCTAACCAAGATATTAAAATTGATTCAGCTTTCAAACCTTAGTCCAAAATTCAGGCTTCAACTTTCATAACAGACAGAGCCCTGATGACGCCCCCGGCGGAGAGAAGAAACCTAATCTTACCTCAGCCAAACTCTCCCTGTAGATCCTCTTCCTGCTACTGCTGATTTTTCTGACACCAGTGGATGAAAGGAGTGAAGTAGGCAGCTGGCCACAGGGATATAGAAAACATTGGCAAGTATTACAGATGT